ATATAAGTATAGGAAAAAAGAAACCACTGACCATTATATGCTGCTTACATTAAATTACCTTGTACCCTTAGACACACAGTAGTCATTACTGGGCCTATCCACCAGCACCCTTCCCCAGGGAACATCAATCCTTCCCAAATGCTCACCTTTCTGACTCCGACCCTGCTACCCTACCCTCAAGGTCAAAGAAAAAAGACTACCCTACCACATATTCTCCCCCACTCCCCAAAAGCAGTCAAGTTAAAGAGAAAAATAAGTTTGTGCTTTGTGGGTCCTTATGGTGTGGTAGCCAGAGCCCTAGAGTAGGAGTCAGACCACCAGTGCCCACCCTGATCTATCACCTGTTCACCGTGTGACATTGGACAAGTCACTTCCCCTCTGTGGTCTTAGCTTCATCTATAAAATGAGGGGTTAGATGGGTTTCTCTTTATGAGCCTTGCTCTGCCCTACAGCGGCTACCCAGGCTGGGAGAGGCCAGAAGCTGCAGGCCAGCATTTCTCCAACTGTTCCCAGAAACAGCTGACAACCTCCAGCATCCCCAGCAGGCTGGGGCCGAAATGTGAGCCAGAAAAATCAGGTGAGATGCGCAGGGCCAGGTGGGCCCCAGCCGTGCCCTAGACTCTCAGGCCAGGGCATGATGTCCACATCCAAAGCTGGATTCTGCAGCTTTTCTCACAGATGTTCTCTTATATGCAGGATAAGGACATACAAGGCCTCCAAAGGCATCAGAAACATGCCCTTCGGGGACCAGACCAGGGCAGGAAGTGGACTTAAAGATTCCTTGTTTGTTAATGTATAGTTTTAGTTCAGATACAATATACCTGCAAGAAAATGTACATATACAAGTATGGCTTAACATACTTTCAGGAAATTAACACATCAGTGAAACAGGCACCCAGATCAAGAAATAGAACAATACCTGTCCCCCAGAAATCCCTCTCATGCCCCCTTTCAGTCACTAGTCCCTCAAGAATAACCACTATTCTGATTTCTAGCACCAGGGATTCATTTTGCCTGTCTTGAATTTGACACAGATGGAATTATTCCCTATGGGCTCTTTTGAATCTGGTTTCCTTCGTTCAGCATGATGTTTGTGTGAGCTCCATCTGTCATTACAGGTAAAAAAAGGAAAAGTGACTCTCACTCATTTTCATTTTTGCATAGTAAGGACTTAAGGAGGACCTAAAGTCAAAGAGACAGACCTGAGTCTAGGGGAGGGTGCTCACAGACAGCCGAGGAAACAGGTTTACATAAAGCTCCTCCCAAACATAAGAACAACCCCTCCTGCTGTTCCTCCTGCAGAGACTCACACTGTCCTGCTGGGAGGCTCTAGAAGTGGGAGATGGGGCCTTGACACCCAAACTTACTTCACAGGCCAGAAGCTCTTTTTCACTGAACACTTCCCCTGTGCCCAGCTCTGTGAGGGACACCACAGACTCAGCATCCCATTTAATCCCCACAACCACGAGGTAGCTACTGTTATTATTCCTATCTTAAAGGTAAAAAAATACTCAGGCTCAAAGAGGTCAAGTAAGTTGTCCTAAGGTTGCACTGCTAGGAAAGGGACCCAGACCTCAAACTGTGTGTCCCCAAAGGCCAAATCTCTCCACCAGTCTGTGTTGGCAGAGAGCTCGCAGGCTGGGTCTGGCCTCTAGCTATATATCCAACCTCATCTAGCACTGCTTGCCCCCAGCTCAAGTTCCACGGCCACACTGGCCTCCTGACAGCAGCTCAGGTCCCAGGCTCTCCCCACCTCGGGGCCTGCATCCATGCTGCTTCCCCTGCCTGCGCATTTACCCTCAGCCACTTCCTCGGAGCAGCCTCCCCAACCACCCAGGGCAAACTACATCCCCTATTCTCTCTCAGAGCATCCCTCTCTCTCCTTTCATAGCCCGTCACACACTCTATAGTGACTTGTCCTTTTGTGATCCCTCAATCACTTGTTGCCAATGGAACACAAGCTGCAAGAGGACAGGAACGCCGATTTTGTTCGTCGCTGCCTCGGACAACGCCTGGCACGAGGTACACCCGCAACAGTGTGTTACGTGAAGAAGAGAGGAGGAGAGACAGATAGCACTGCCCCTTCTGAAGCCCAGCAGTCATCTGAAGGCAGCTCTAGTTCCAGCCTGTTTATGGCCCCCAGCAAGACTCTTCCCCTCTCTGAGGCTCAGTTTCCTCAACTGTCCGACGAGGGTCTTGGAAGAAAGACCTCTAAAGGCCTTCCAGCTCATCGGACCTCTAGACCAGCGGTCCCCAACCTTTTTGGCACCAGGGACCGTTTTCGTGGAAGCGATTTTTCCACGGACGGGGAGGGGGGATGGCTCAGGCGGTAATGAGAGCGATGGGGAGCCGCAGACGAAGCTTTGCTCACTTGCCTGCCACTCACCTCCTGCTGTGCAGCCCGGTTCCTAACAGGCTGTGGACCGGTACCAGGGGTTGGGGACCCCTGCTCTAGACCACAAATCCTAGGACGACAAGCCATTCCAAAGGCCTCAGACCTTTGCTGCCTCTTACTCACCCTATGTCCAGCCAGCAGCTTAGAACCTTAGAAAAGTTGCAGGTACCAGGCGGTGGACGGGAGGTTCCTCCAAGGCTCCCCAGGCTGTGAGGTACCTGGGGCCTTCATACCCTGTTGTAGATGGAGGACCCCAGAGCATGAGGTCTCTTCCAGTTCTAATAGCTCTGAGGTATGGAATGGGGGAGAGACAGGACTAAGAAGGGATAACAGATGAATTCCACGGGAAACGTCTACTTCCTTCTTCAGAGCCCAAGCCCCCCCCCAATTCCTGACTTCTCAGCTCACAGCCCACCCGACATAATCCCATCCAACGCTGCCCTTGTTATGTGCACAGCTGCCCCTACAGCCAGGCTGGAGCTCCAGGAGGGCAAAGACTCCCCGTGTCATGCTCATCTCTGTACCCAGGGCACTTAGCACAGACCCTTACACACAGGACATGGCCAACGTGGGGCCATCGAATCAAAAGCCACTGGTAGGGCCTGCCAGGGTCTGTGGCTAAGGATGCCACTTTGCCCCCAGCATCACCAAGTTCAGGAGAAGCGCCCGAGGCGAAGAGATCCTCGCTTCTCACTCAGAGGCAGAGTCCAGCTGACCACCCTCCAGCCTCTTCCCAGTCCTTCACAGGCCCCGGATTGCCAGTGGCAATGGCCCAGACAGAAGGCTGAGGAATCTCCCCCTCTGGGACACTCTGGGATTCTGCAGACACTTGCTTCTTGACCCATCCAGTCAAGCAGGACAAGCACTCCCTAAACTTTCTTTTTTCTGGCCTCACCACGCGGCTTGCAGGATCTTAGTTCTTAGTTCCCTGACCAGGGATTGAACCTGGCCCGGCAGTGAAAGCACCGAATCCTAACCACTGGATCACCAGGGAATTCCCATAACTGCACTTTCCATTCTTATCTGAGTAAGGCTCCTCTGGCTTTGAAGTTCTTTCTAGTTTTTTTTTTTAAATAAAAGTACCCAGTGACCCAACTTCTAGCAATCTATCTTAAGGAAACAGTCAAAAACAGGATCAGAAATGTCTGTTAAGGGATGTTCACTATAGCTTTAGCAATGAAAATTTTTTTTAAAAAAATGGAAACTGCATATTTTTAACAGTAGGGGAAATGGCTGAATAATTGAGGCATGCATATACAAGGGAATATAAAATTGCATTTAAAATATTTAATGACATGAGCAAACCTGTATGATACATTAAGATGTAATATTTAAAACTGTATTAAAACACTAACCTATAAATTCAGTGTGCTTAAAATAAAAGGAAATAAATATATACATATATTTGCAAAAAATAAACAAAAGAGAAGAAAAGAAAGTAAGAGAATTAGTCCTGACACAGGAGCTCTTTAAAGGGAAAGGCTCCCGTTGTGCATCATGGATACAGTGAAGGCCCTGAACCCCCAGATTTTTACTCTGCTGGGTGTGTGGAGGGGTTGGGCCGGGTGTACTGCAAGTATGTGTGAGTGTGCAAGAACCATGTGCACTGGAGAGAGCATGACAGGTGTGCAGGCACAGACTGGACTGGCCAGACGTTGGCCATGTCACTTGCTGGCTGAGCAACTTGGGGCAACTTGCTTAAGCTCTTTGGACCACAGTTTCCTCAAGAAAAATAAGAGTAAAAATAATTCCCATTTTCATGAATTGTTGTGAGACTCAGACTCCAAGATTGGTGTTCTGTAATCATTAAAATACCACCTGAATACTAGCAGTTGTTACAAATGAGAGGCAAGAAGAGAGCTTCAGAAAATCATTTCTCTCCAGACGGTAACTACTTGCAGATCTGAGTTTACTCCTGTCTGTGTTGTGGGTTTAGCAAACCTGAAAATGCACCCAATAACTCAGATCTGAAGAACCTTCACAACTAGGCTCATGCGGCTTGTCACTCAATCTAAAGCCATTTTCAGGAGGATGATTTCACCTCCCATTCAGGCTCTGAGCTTACAGAACAAAATCCTGAGAGCTGTGGAGGGACTTCCTTGGTGGTCCAGTAGTTAAGAGTTCATGCTCCCAATGCAGGCGGCCCGGGTTCAATCCCTGGTCAGGGAACTAGATCCCACATGCTGCAACTAAGAGCCCACGTGCCGCAACTAAGACCTGGCACAGCTAAATAAATAAATAAACATTAAAAAAAAAAACAACACCTGGGAGCCACGGAGAATCCCAAGTGGGATTCGGAGAAGAAAACCAACAGGTCATATCTCAGTCCAGAGCCTGGGGAGGATTTTGGGAGCAAAGTAACAGGTACAACAAGAATCATTTAGATTTGCCGTTAACTGTCAGCCAGGTTATACTGAAAACACGGAACTCAGCAATTCTAGTCCTTTCTGCTGGCAAGTCTCCATTTCCAGAGAGACGATTCCTTGCAGAGGCACCCATGAAGATGAATAAACCTCAGGACTGTTTTTAAAGCTTCCCACAAGTCCTGTGACAAGCCCATGACCTACAAGATCTACTGACCAGTACACCTCTCACAGCCACTTACCTCCCCAGCTCCTCCCCGATGTCATAAAAGTCCTCCACCTTCTCCTGCTTGAACGTCTCCATGTTTGGGCTCCTCATTGAGGCCTGGAGCGTACAGCCCTGAAACATGAAAAAACCTGAGGTTAGGACAGACGTGTCAATTGGTACCAGCCTGAATCTAGGCCCAAAAGTAATTGGCTGCCTGGAAGCTAATAATTTAAAGATAACCCACAGCCCTCATTCCTCAAGAACAGCCTTGATCAAGCCTTTCCTCACCTGTGACCAATGATGTACCATTCTTATTTGATTTATATTAATCACATTTGTTAAGGAGACAAAAATAGCCCTCCTCACTTCTTCAGATCTGCTCAGAACAAGTTCAGAGAAACAGGGCCATGGGCAACTTTGGCAATTTGTTCTCATGAAATTCAGGTCTATTGAGAAAAGAGGCAGCTGTGATGCAGGAAAAACAGAACTCGTTTTTGAGTCAGAAGTTCCAGGTTCAAGTCCCACAGTTGCCTACGTCATTTAAACTGCAGAGTCTTAACTTCCTCATCTGTAAAAGGGATTAGTACTGTAAACACCACTGCAAATCAGGATATTAATTTTATAAACCACAAAATGCAGTAGAAAGGTAAGGGATGTGCATGACCTCAGCTCCTACAGGCGCTGTGCCACCCAGCTTGGAGTCTGAACTGATTTCAAACTCTCTCACTCATCACCCTAAGGGAAAGATGCCTGGGAGTGGTGTGACAAATTACAGTAGGCACCAGGAGTTAGGAGCCTGAGGTTCTAGGTGCAATTTTGTCCACAACTAGCTCTGTGACCTCATCTCTTGTCAGAGGGAGGAGGCTGTTTCCTCATCTGTAAAATGGAGCTAACTCTGCCTACCCAGGGCACCTTAATGAGAACCACAGGACTACTCTGAACCACGCAGAGCACTCACCACTCCACCAGAAGAGACGGTCTGCATCCTCCCTTGGGATCCTCCTGCCCTAAGGAGCTCACCCATTCCTGGGGCAGCCACATGCCACCCTGGACAGCACCCCGAGGCCAGGGCCCAGGACACAGCCTGCGCATCACAAAGATAAAACCAGCTACCTGTGGATGCATCTTTCAAGAGTCATTAGCAAAGGCCTCTCAGAGCTCCTTTTGGCTAGTGCTGGCAGCTTTTCTTCTGCCTGGCAATCAGAGACCAACCACGGCCGGGCCCCATGAACCCCAAAAGACTGTTTTCACCAGGCTGGGTGGAGGCACCATTACCTAAGGGCACGTCTCATCAGTGTCAAGCGGCTGAAGCTGTTCTGACTCTCAGGTGATGTACACATTTCACCCTCTTTCCTCCACCTCTGCCCCCTACAAACCAGGGCTCTGGTACCAACATGCCACCTGCCTCCCTCCCTTCCATCGAGTCACACACATCCCTGAAGACCTCCAGGCAGAGCTGGCCTGGCTCCCAGGCCTTACTCTCAGGGCCACCTGCCAACCTCCTGCCTGTGCATCACACATCCTCCTCCCTGCTTGGTCTTCACTCCATGCTCATCCAGGGCCTGGCAAGCATGGAATCCTGAGAAAAGCAGGCTCCAGGATCCCCGGTTCTAGGCTAATCTGGGTGTATATTAGCCATGTGACCCATAGCACGTTGGCACCCTCTCTGGGATTCAATCCCCCTCCTCTGTAAACTGGGGTGATCACGTCTATATCACATACTTCACACATCCATGTGAGGATCCATTGTGATAAGGACATAAACTGCTGGGCAAATAAGAACGATGATTATTATTATTATTTGACTCATTCCAGGCCATTGTTTGTGTTTCTGCTTCCCATAGCCATTGAGGCACCAATTCTGTTCCCTTCTGAGGAAAAGGTACTGGGATTCTCCTGGCAAGTTTGGCTTGATCAGAGTCAGAAGTTTGGCCCCCTTCGCCCCCAACCCCCATTCCTGGCAAACCTCCTGAGACTAGCACTGAGGGGGGGCAGGACTGCTATCTATCGTCATCTTTTTGCTGAAAAAATATTTCCAAATAAACCATCTGGGTCAGATCCTGGGGGTGGAGGTGACAGTAGCTACTAATTTCCCACAGCTAGATGGAAGCAGAAAACTCCAAAAATATTCTGTTGGCAGATACCCTGAGAATGGTCCCAGGAACAGCTATGATCCTCCATTTGGAAAGAGGCCGGCTGCATTCGCTATCAGGAGCTGAGCTGGATTTGAAGAAGCCCCACCTCCCCAGAAAACAATGAGCCCCTGCCTTGTGCTCCACATCCTGAGTGACCAGAACTTGGGGGCCAGGGGAGTCCCCTAAGCTCAAACCAGGCTCACCAGTTTGGCCTCAACTCACCATTTCAGCATAGCCCCCTCCCCCATAAATCCTATATTACAGGCAAAAGTAGACCTTTCCCATTCCCCCAAAACTTTCACCCCTGCCACGCCCCAGCTCAAGTTGGGCCCTTTTCAGGGGGTTGGGGGGGGCACCTGGAAAGCCCTCCTAGCAAAACTGTTCCCTTCCCACAAAGCCAGGCTCAAATGCTACCATCTCTATGAGCCTCCATGACCCTTTTTCTTGCCAAAACAGATTAAAACTCTCTTCCTCTTTAAATTCCCAAAGAGGGCTCTTTACACATGTTTAGGTTTAGAGCTTATCACGTTCTGGCTTATTTCATAATCTATGTCAATGTGTAACCCAGAGGGAGAGAGTACAGGTTCCACAGGCACAGAGGCCTGGGTTCATATCCCGGCTCTGCCACTTACTAGCAAACAGCACAAGACAACTTTTCTGGGCTTCAAATTACTTACATAGGAAATAAGTCTAGACAATGCCTAGTGTTAGTGAGTATTTGGAGAACTCTCAAAACTGCTAGGGAGAGTATACACTGGGACTGCTTTGGAAAACTATTGGTCAGTTTCTACGGACGTACCTAAGAGAAACACATGCGGATGTTTTCCAAAATGGTCCACGTTAGAACGTTCACAGCAGCACTGTCATTAATAACTAAAAATTGGAAACAACCAAATGGCCATCGACAGAAGAATGGATAAATAAATTGAGTTATACCCATACAATGAAATTATTATACAACAATGAGAAAAAGTGAACTACTGCTCCCTGCAACAATGTGGACGAGACTCACAAACATAATGTTGAATGAGAAAAGCCAGACACAAAAGACTACAGACTGTGTGATTCCCTCTAGGTAAAACAAATCCATGGTGCTAGAAGTCATAATAGTTGTTACGCCTCGGTCAGGGGTTGTGCCTGGAAGGGGACACAAGGAGGTTTCTGGGTGCTGACAATGCTGCTTCTTGATGGTATGTACAGTTATTTTGTATGCAATCAAAATTTTACATAATTAAAACACGAGTCTGATATCTAGTGGACAAATGAGATAACATATGTAAAGTGTTTTTCACAGTCCTTGGATGGTTCCAACAAATGTGAGTTCCCTCCCTCCTGCCTGTTGTCTTGGAGCCTCATGAGGGCAGGAGTTGTGACATTCTCACCTCTGTCCCCTTGTGGCAGCTGGTACACAGCAGGCACTCTGTGAATGCTGGCTGATGTACATCTAGTGCCCCAGCTGTCTTTCTCAAGGCTGCTGCTCAGAAAGCTCATCCGGTAGAGGCAGCTGCTAACGACTCAAAGCCCCTTCATAACGTCTCTCCCCAAGATGAATTCGCGTTTTACCGGTTTAGAGACATGAAACCAAAGGGGAGACATCCTGAGGTGGAATTACAGTCACCAGCTAGGACCCGGAGAAGGACCCAGAGATACAGGCATCTTTCTGGCCCTGAAAAGATGAGACCACATGGCAGAGGGCACAGCTACAACTTTTGGCCAGGGGCACAGGCCATCCATCGGCTCCAGACATTCCAAGGTTGAGGCCCATCTTAATGCCTACATTCCTCTTAATGGAATCTCTAGAATTCACATTCCTGCCCCCCAACCCTAATACGAGGCAACACTTCTGAAAGGTTAACACAGATTTCCTAAAACCTCACAGAAAGAGATCTCTAAGAACATCTAGGGGATTTTTAGACTCTGCTCAGGAGCCACCAGCATGAGGAAGGGGAGCCAGAGAAGTTCCACTTTATCTACACTATATGTTGGGGTTCTGTGTGAGAATTCATGGGTGGGAGGAGTTTGAAAACCACTGCTGTCTGGTCAAACCCACTTGTTTTACAAGAGGAGGAAACTGAGATCCAGATGGGGGAAAGGACTTGCTAAAAGTCACACAGCTAGCCCACTCCAGCTGCTCTTCCCCCAGCTTCTGTTGACAGTACCCTCAACCCTCCAATGGTGGCACGAGGGTTACGAAGTCGGTGGCCTCCTGAGGGACAACCTGGGAGGAGGCCTCCAGGGCTGGAGGATCATCCCATAAGGAAGTTTCAACCCTACTAAGCCCCTCCCCCATGGGCCCCAGCTCACCCTGCTGAACTCTCAGAGATCCTCACCCAGTGCAAGTCTGTGAAATGGGACCATGATTGCCCCCTTACACCCCATCCCCATCACATTCAGGAGGAGGCTGCCAACAGAAGGGAGGGGCATCCAGCATTACAGTGGCCCTCCATGCATTGGAGGCTTTGACCCACCCTGATCTCTGATGAGGAAGCTGGGGCTCTGAGATCAGCCACCTGCCTAAGGTGACATGAGAAAACTATCTTCCTGGTAAAGGTCCAGCTCCGCTGGGCAGCCTGCTTGGTCACCCCCCACATCTAACAACCAGGGAGGCCTTAGGGAGAGGGTCAGGGTCAGTTCAGGTCTTCTTCCTGCCAGTGGGAAGCTCACCCCAAACCAGCACACACCCACTCAAATCCACACAACCCTGCACCCCCTGCCCAAGCCTCTCCCAAAGCTGCCGAATGGGGCCACTTCAGGTGCTAAAAACACATCTTGGGAGATGGGTGGTTTGGGGAAGAACAGGACTCCGGAGGAAATCGTGAAGAGGCCAACGTACCAGCACCCCTCAGTCACCAGGGCTCTCCCAGGAATACATTACACAGAGGCAGCTGAGAAATACAATGTCAGAAACCACAGCAGAGGTCCCCAGCTGCCCCCCACCGGATTCTTGAGTACAAGGTGTCGGGGACCACCCGCCCCCAGCGACCTTCCCACCTGCCA